ATAAAGGATAGTTATGTATATACAGTTGTCCATTTTCTTCTGTGCATGCCTTATCTCCATTCCCCATTGCTAATTTGGATCTTTGAATCCTCCCCTTTTCAATCATTATTATCTCAGTTTGTTTCTATGTATGCTGAACGTTCATTACTATCTTGCTGTAGCAATTCTCTTCTTATTATTTAAACTTATAATGCCCTGTTCTCAGTAAGGATTGCCCTGCTTCTCTTTTAAGTGACCTCAAGAACCTCACAGTATTTAGTGCTGCACTGGAGCCCATGGCTTGCTGCATCTCTGTGGACTTAAATCACTTCCTCAGTCAGATTTTCTCTATAAGTCCTTCAGGCAACCCCTATTTAATGAAGAACACTTTTAAGGAAGAACACTGGCTTCTCCCTCAGATAAACAAGACGACATTCTATGCATCTCCCCCAGGAGAGCGTAGAGCTCCTTCACAATGATCTGGACCCTGATTCTTCCTTCTTTAATTACATTGCACCAGGCATTTGTTTTAATTTTTCTTCCTAGGAAGAGGCAAGAACATGTCCACCACTGTGTCTGGCTCTCTGCCCTTGTGCTGTTTATTTGTTTTTTTTCCCACCTCTGTGTAGCCAAGGTATCTAGCTCATTATATTCTCCTTTTAAGCTGACGCTTTATTTTGTTTCCATTTTAGCTCGAGTCCATTACACTAAATACTGTACACATTATTATCCCCTAAATGACTTTACTCAATCAGTTTTAGTGAGCAAGGTCAGGGCCCAGTGAGCTGGAAGACCAGCCCTCGAATTGGCTTTCAACCAAAACAGCCAACAGCCCCCTCCTTCTCAAATCAACACTGCTCCCAGAGAGATGGAGCTTTACATCAGTGAGGAATGTATTAATTAAATCAAATGAAAATGCCCTCATTTGTTGTAATGAATTTAGCTCTTGCAGACCATTTTCTATGGGGTCGCCTGCCTAGAAGATGTGCTGAAAAGAATTAAAGGGAAAAAAGACATTAAGTTCATAACTGCCTTCAGAGACCTGCTTTTCACCACATTGGCTTTTCCTGTATCCACAGTAAGTTACAAAGATGTTTATGCAATATAATACATTTGTACATACAAACAAACATGTCTCCTGGGTGACAAGGCTGTTTGGGAGTCCATTATTGCAAACCAGAGCAGCTGCATTTGCATAAATGTCCTATCTGAGGACTGTACCACATTGCCCAGTGTCTTCAGGAAATAGGACATATTATTGATAGATTTATCATTCGCTTTTGTGTCTTTGCAAATGTTTGATACAAGATCTTTATTGCTATGTAATAGGGAAGTTTGAAGGACCTTCTTAATCAAAATATAACCAAGAAAACCTTGGTTCCATCAGGAGGATGGGAATGGAAGTTGCTAGGGAGGGAGATGACTAACTTTCCCTTTTATACATCTTGCTTAACTTGCTATAATAAGCATGTTACTTCTGCAAGTGGAACTTTCCTCCCCACCACCCCAAAAAGGTATAAGAACCTTCAAAGTTGGCACATGGAAAAGACAATTGAGGAGAGAAAGACGATCTGTCTGAAATTCCTGGTGTGGGGCACCCAGTAGGTACCACATTCATTTTGTTGAATAGACATTGGGAAGAAGCAAGACATATGCAAAGGAGAGCTTGTTTGCTGACACTGTCCACATTTCTATGACATTGCTTATGATTTCATTCATTACTTAGATGGAAATAAACAGATCAAGTGTGCCGACTGCCCAACAGTGCCTATAATTAGAAATGACTACCTCTTTCCACCTGTTATTGTCTTGCTTCCTATATTATTGAGACTTCAAACTTAAATCCACAATGAAACTCTCCAAACTCTAATGAGTTCTCAGATAATACAGCAAGAATTGGCATACCAGTTTCACTTTGCAGGACACTTCCTACTCCACCCTCATACATCTAAAGGCCAAGTTTTTTATAACAACAAAATATATTCATTTTTTTTAAGGCTTAGAATTTGAGCCTTTGGAATTTAAGAAGATTAAAAGATTAATATATATGGTTTTCATCTCTATACTGACTTTGATATAGAGCAGTGGTCTCCAACCTTTTAGGCACCAGGGACCGGTTCTATGGAAGACAATTTTTCCACAGACCAAGGTGGGAGTTCTGATTGTAATGATTCAAGCTCATTATATTTATTGTGCACTTTATTTTTATTATTATTACATAGTAATATATAATGAAATAATTATACAACTCACCATAAGGTAGAATCAAATGCCAGCAGATGCAGCTGTACAATTCAAGTACATCAACTCACTTGCCACTATAAAACCTGCCACCAGATGCAGCTTAATTGACTTTTGCCACTCACTGATAGGGTTTTGATATGAATCTGCAAGCAACTGATTTATTATGATCTCTGTGTAGTCAAACTTCTCTTTTAACGTTAACCTGTTTATGCAATACAATACACATGTACATACAAATGAGCTGCTTCCCAGCGCTAGCATCACTGTCTCAGCTCCACCTCAGATCATCTGGCATTAGATTCTCACAAGGAGTGTGCAACCTAGATCTCTCACATGCACAAGTCACAATAGGTTTTGTGCTCCTATGAGAATCTAATGCCAGATGATCTGGGGTGGAGCTGAGGCAGTGATGCTAGTGCTAGGAAGTGGCTGCAAATACAAATGAAGCTTCTCTCATCTGCCTACCGCTCACCTCCTACTGTATGGCCCTGTTCCTAACAGGCCACAGGCCAGACCATTACAGGTCCACAGCTTGGGGTTTGGGGACCCCTAGACAGACACTAAAAAGATAGCCGAGCGGTCCAAGAGGATGAGGAACAACCCAAAGCTCTGAGCAATGAAGAAGTCCAACTCTCAGTTAACTAACTTGTGAATGATCCTGGGAGTTTGTCACTTCTTTCCCAGCTTTCTTGCTTTCCCTTGCCATATCTATGTAGAGGGTGGGCAAGGAAAGTGTAAGATTCAAGGTACTCCATGTGGCTGCTCTCAGCACTCTTGCTGAAAGTTTAGAGAAGAGAGAAGTCATTGGTTGAAATTAAATGACTTAATGGTCTGCAAATCCTGTTTATCTATACCCTTTCTGCCTGCCATGATGACAAATAATTGATCCCTAACTCTCCAGAGAGTAGATATTGCAATTCTACAGTAATTTTTTTCTTTATTTTACATTGTTATAATATCTTTAAAACTGGTATCTATTTTTATTTTGCTATGTTTCCTCGGTTATCTTAGAAAGCTCTGATTGAAAACAAACCTAATGCTATTTTTGTGTTTTGTTTTCCAGGTGGTATTTCTGTTATTCTGGATCCTCTTTCTCTATGATCGAGAAGTTGTTTACCCAAAGTACCTAGATGATATCTTTCCAGTATGGTTAAATCATGCAATGGTGAGTGAGGGGAAAAAAATTAGGGAATATAGAAAGGCAATAGCCTAGAACTCCACAGTGCCCTATTTATGTTTCTAAACTTCTCAACCTCCAACATCCTGTTCACTCCTCCATCTCCATCCTGTCACTATTTATTTAAAGAGTTCATTGAGGATACGAAATGAACGAAAAATGGTACTGTAATTGCAGTCACTGATAGCAGAGGGGATGTCCAAGCAAGACACTGCCAAGTTGCTTATGAAGTCATTGAAAATACATGCAACCGTAAGGGCAGGCAACTTCTTGGTGGCTGCAGCCCTGAAAAAGAAGTGACTTCAGCAAATAACATGTAATGAACATTCTGGTCTAGGAATGAAATCAAGTAAACTTAAAATAAAAGTCCACCCCAGCATCAAAGAATATATCAGATCTCAGCAGCAGCTTCTCTGCTAACACTTTACAGGGACTATTCATTGCAAATAGAATTATTACTTACATATTTCTATTAATACATTCTCATTTGTTTTTTTATTCATGAATAGTAAACAGAACCTATTATGAGATATTTGGGCCGCTAGTATCTGAATACTAGTAACGGTAACCTGGACAAGCAGAGCTGAAACAAGGCTGTCCAAGTCTTAGATGAAGGAGGGGCTTGAGTCACTGGCACTGTGTACATGAAGTAATCATTCAACATCCTAGCTTCACTGCTTGATACTGACAAATATGTTTCCACATTAGTCAGGAGTTCAGAAGAAGTTTTCAGTCTGTGAAGCAAACATCATTTAAAAACCAGGGGGAATCACGAGGGAGTAGCATTATCAAGGCTCCTCAAGATTACAGACCTTCTTCTACCTACAACCCTTCCATTGTTCTTAAAACTCCCATGATCACCAATATGGAAAAGCAGCTCAGTCCACTGACTCTGCTGCTCCACATGCCTGGTCCTTAGTAAAAAGGTACTTTCATTTCATATATGTGCTTGGTGAGATACTGATTACTGACATCCAGTTTCTAATCTGATTTAGAGTTCAGGACCAAAAACTCTATATGAAATAAGTCTCATCTCTCAGGGACCCCCTCCTACCATCTTCTTTTTGTCTGACCACCTCCTTCTGGGAAGTTCTGACCACTTTTCCAATTCCCATTAACAGTCTGAGACACCTATGTAGGGAATATTCCTGCTTTTTTTTTTTTAATGGTACTTTACATTGTACTAAGCATGTTCCTCAAATATGAACTCATTTAATTCACACAACCTTCTTGAGATAGCAACTATAACTCAGGTTTTTACAAATTAGAAAAAGAAAAGCTCAGAGAGGTTAAGTGATTTACCTGGGGCTACAGAGCGGATAAGTGGGACAGCTAGGTTTTAAACCCGAGGCTAATTCACTCTTCCTTGTCCTTTGCTACAGTAAGTGCAGAACTTGTGGTTTGATCTTGTTTCACAATTAATTCCCCAGTCAATCAAAGGAATGTCACTTTGCTTGATTAACATAGCAAAGTGAGAATCCTCACTTAAAAAAATCTAGAATCCCCATCTGTATGCTAATAAACTAAAACTTAAGTCAAAGAAAAGGAAGTGATTTGGGACAACCGACTGAGCTAGATGTTGCTAAATTAAAAAAGACAGAATCTTGAAAGTGTCTTTAATTTGGGGCCAAACACATATATCAAAAACCCTTTCAAGTCTTTGGGAGCTCATCTAGTTTTCCTGAAATAACTACAAACTTCCTAGCGCTTCAGGGTTCCATTTTCCACATGGAAGTAAGGTTGGATTTCTTCAAAATAGTTGTGATGGTGATGGCCAGTATTTGTGACCTTGCTAAACAACCATATGGATTTTTAGTCATTTTGAAAGCAGATATTGGGACAATGTACATCCAAGAGCAAAGCAGATACTGTACAACAGAAATCCTAAAATATTTTGTGCCTTCACAACCTGGGAGATTCTGATTGTTCCTAGTCTTTTGCTCAGTCAAGTAACCTGAATCTCTTAGGTGGGCTAGGATGAAGGGAGGTAAGACAATAGTGACGAAGAGAAAATATGAAGTGGCAACTTGCCTCCAGTCAGACACAGACTCTGATTCTGTTCATTTAAATGGAAAACATGCCCAGGAGAACCATTTCTAGGGGAAAAAGTTAGCATCAGCAAAACCCAATGTGGTCATCCCCAAACTTCCATGCTTCCTTTTGATGTCTGCTCCAAATCCAAAGTCCTCGTGAGTGTATCTCATCCCTTATTCTGGACAATTTCTGTCTTCGCTCTTAAATCTTCCAGTTCTATTGTGTCAAGGAATGCTTCCTGCTAAAGTCTCAAATTCTAGTATGAACAAATATAGAAATGGCTGTTACCAGGTCAATTTGTTAACACTTTCTACATTTTAACAGTTTCCTTCCATGACAGTGCAAAGGAGTGAATACCCAGAAACCACCACTGCAGCAGCCAGAGTGAAGATGGGCAGTCACGTTGGACTTTTGATACTAGTTACCTACACATGGAGCTGACCCTGCTCTTAAAGGAAATCACTTCCTGTACTGCTCCTTTTTCTCTTCCACTGCATCAGAATTATTAGTATACATAGCCAGTGTCATACTTTCCTGAAAAGTTCTCTCATTTCACAACAGTTCCTATGTTTGCTATTCTAGCCCTGGGTTCTATGAACAATATTTGTCAGATTAAGAAATACTACTCTCCCCTTTGACATGGTGTGGTTCTAAAACCTTTATGATTTATCAAGTTTTTGGAATCTTTGCAGCACAAGCCTTCTAGCTCACCGGAGACTTGTTATTGCAGTAGGACCATTCAAAGCTGATTATCATCTCTAATGGAAGTTTTTCTACCCTTTTTTTGGGTTCAAACCAAATAGTAACATCAGTGAAATGTTTGCATCAACCATGGACAGGCTGCCATTCACTGGTGACCTAAAAACTCTCATTTGAGCCCTGCTGCCTCAATTAAAATAGATCAACTTGATTGTTTTATTGTTAAGCAGTTCTCAAGTCTTCATGAAAGAAGGAAAAGAACAGCAAAGTATTCCTCCAGGTTTTGCCAGGAAAATGTTAATCCCTCCATTCTTAACTGAATGACTACTAAAGATAGAACCAGAGCAGACAGATTTAAACAGCAGGAAGAGGACTCAGTAACTGAAGAAACTATCAGATGCTAACCAGAAGGGAGCAGAGGAACTTATTTCTCAGGAAATTATCCTAAATTGTTCAGGTTGCCCCAAAAGAGGGGAGAAGTAGATTAGAGAACCCCCTCAGAGCCCTCCACATTTGAAAATAGTACACCATTATCGAGAATGTGTGTGCAAGCACTTTGGAAACTATCACAAAGTACATAAATATGTTATTATCATGCAACACTATCAATCCATGATCACAGTTTTGGAACTGAAAAGACTATTGACATTAACAGAGGTTTACAATCTGCTCTTCAGAGTCAAGCCTTACTTTAGCTCTTTAAATTGGAGCAAGTACCAAATACACCTATTTAATGTGCTGTCATTTACTCATTTGAAAAAATAATTATTAAGCACATACTATGTGCGTAGCACCACGATCGATATTTGACAAGGCTTTTGACTTCTAGCACCCTAAATCTGGTTGAGCCTAGTATATACACACAAAGTTGAAGCAATAAAATAACAGCTACTATTAATACAAGACATCGACATAGGTGGTGTTATGCAGCAGTATGTGATTACTGCCAAATGAACAGCATGGACAGGAGGGCTTCATGCCTCTTGTGTTCTGTCCTGGCTGTGACCAACATGCAAGTCATGACCGAACAACCTGGAAGGCCTTTGAGCCCTTTCCAGGGTTTAGTAGGCAGTCAAAATGTCAAGAGAATGAAACTCTAAACCTTCCAGTTTCTTTCTTACTCATAGCATGCAAGATGTTGTCCATCATTAAATTCAGACCCAGTATCAGATTTTTCTCTCTCATCCATAAACTTGATGTGAATTGTTGATCTGCTAAGTAGAGGTGAGTCCTGTTGAGTAAAAGTCAACTGCAGACATGTCAGCATCAAAAAAACCACTTTTTGTCCACCAACATTACACAGCATCCCAGCCTTTCCTCTGGGCAGAGGAGACCCACAATTCAGATAGCTCTGGATAGCTCAGCGGGTGTCAACCTTTAGGGAATAGACCGCTTTGTGAATCTATGGAAATCTGTGTACTATTTTAGAAGGTTTGTGTGATGCTCATGAAATGCGAGCAAGTACAAAGACCCTGAAAGGAAATAGTGGCATATTTAGGAAAGAGCAAAAAGGCCAGTGTGGTTGGTTCAGAATGAATAAAGAGGTGAATGATAGGACTGTAGCAAGGGTTTGGATTATGTCTCACATGATTTATACAGAGTTGGAATTTTATTCAGAGTGTGATGGGGAAGGCCATCTTTTCAGGAAGGCCTTACCTGCTGAGGGAGTACTTTCAAAGTTTAAACTATATAAACTATATAAGGCTAAGGGACAGGCTTTTTTGTCCCTTCCCAATACACTACATGTATATATCCTTAAGCTTATAAAATAATGCTTAAGGATATATATATTCCTCTTTCTTCATCAGCATCTATCTATCTATCTATCTATCTATCTATCTATCTATCTATCTATCTATCATCTATCTCTTCTTTCTACATGGAATTTTACTTGCTCACATTTCACAAGCATCACATTCACTGTTATATAGAAAATTAACTCTAAGAGTGGGCACAGTGGAGGTGTGGGGGAGGGGAAGAGTGAAGACCAGTGAGGAGGTATTTGCAAAGTACAGCAGGAGATGATGAAGACTTGTGCTAGAGGAGTGACAGTGGAGTTGATGGGCTTGTGTTCAGTATAGATCTTGTACAAAGAACCATCAGGATTCACTGAATTGTGGCAACAAAAAAGAGATAAAATTTTTAGCCTAAGACAGAGGGAAGGGGTATGGATAGAGATGCTAGGAGAGGTAAAAAAAAAAAAATGTGGAGGAGGAGATTGTTTCTGAGATATCTATTAGAGAGAAAAATCTAAG